TGATAGAATAATCTCAGGCGATTTCTTCATCAAAGCATACTTTCGAAAATGTAAAAGCAGTGTCCAAACTTGTTGCTTTGATTCAAAAGTCTGCCTGTCGCGAAGTATCTTCTTGCACATAAAATTTCATACATTTTTCCACGAAAAAAAAATCTGATCTATTATATTTCAAATTCTACTGAAGTTCATAATTATAAAATTTAATCAATTCGATCAAACAATACTATTATAAAAGAGAAAATGAAATTGGAAATTAATTAGTATAACAAATACTGATACATATCAATAAGTAATAACTGCATCTTTTATAGCAACGAAGACGGAGGATATCCGTCTTCTCTGCTATGAAATGCTCAAGCTAAATCATTTAATAATAATTATTCATAAATATTTATGATTTATCTATTTACATAGATATTCCTTTTACAAATATTTATATTCAAGATGTTTTGATTTTATAAGTAATAATTAAATATCTATATATTTAAAATAATTGTTAAAATCGCGGTGTGCAAGAAGCCCTATCCTAATCTAATACATTAAACACCTGAAAAATATTACTCTTCACGGGTATAAAAAATACCCGCGGTCACTATGCTCATCAAAAATTCTACGTATACAACCAGTCACTCGTGCCGATTCGGACCTTTCGTCCTACGACATGATTGAATGACCGGAGGAACATAAATGCATGCGACTCACGTGATAGATGTGAAGAACGTTATCATCGATGATGCACTGGAGCAGCAAAGTTATCGTGAAGACTTTCATCAAGTAGATATCATTCAGAATCCCACGATGGTAATGAACGTCGTGAAAAATTTCTTGAAAAATATAAAATATTTTATTTCTAAAGACGCAGTGTTATTTGTGAAAATTTGAATTCTAATAATGATAAAAATTGGGACTAATAATTTGAAATTTTTAAATTTTATAATTATAATTATATATATATAATAATGAGTTAATCAATTACAAGGTTACAATATTTCTACTGGTTAGAGTTGAAATTAAATTTTGGTATAAAATTATAAATAACTTTTGGCATAGTATGTTCTGTTTAAATATGTATATATTATTATTTCTTTATTGTTAAAATTAGATATAATTTCTTTAATTGTTAAAATTAGATATAATTTCTTTAATTGTTAAAATTATATATAAAAAATATTTGGTTAAATCTTATCTTGACGTGAAGCCAAAAATACACGTTTTATCTTAAAAATTTACAACACAAACACAAGTCGAATAGCTATTGATTTAAATTTTTACCTGAAAACATCTGGATGATATTTTTTCCTGGGTAATTCTTCTGCATAGTTTCTCCTTTACAAATGTGGTGTGCTTCTCTCCGCCATTTTTAACTGCCACTTTCTAGTTAAAAATCGATCATGAAAAATATCGATTATGTTCGAAAATCGTAGGAAATATGTTACGTATTTCGCCGTATATATATATATATATACTATATATTACTATTATACTATTATTATATAATATTACTAATATAATATTACTATTATATGTGTGAAACGTGAAAATATGACCAATTTATAGAAATTTTAATTCTAAATGTTCGATGTTAGAATTTCAAATTTGTTTCGTGCTAATCAAATATGGCGCGTTTCGTTTCAATTACCGAAGCTGCGCAGTATTCAAACGACGCGATGCGCAGAACTTGTTCGAACCCGTCTGATGGCATCTCTTTACGAAAAAAGTTTGCCTCCCTAAAATGAATAAAATATTGTCATACCTTCATGGAAAGACGCCAAATCTATTATAATCATCATCTTTTGAATTTCAACGGTATCTAATACTGCGAAATCCCCCTCATAACTCATCGTGATCATCAGCTTTTGAATTTCGAATCAGCTTCGAATCAGTGGCGTCTAATATTTCGAAATCTTCCTCGTAGTCAACCAATAATCTACGCAACAGAAGATCAAAACTTTGAAATAAATAATAACAACATATAAAATTAAATGTTCCACGAGCTCATCGTACGAACTACCAATAAATGTAGCAATCAAAAACATGATTAAAGAAGAAAAGATAATTTAACAATAAATTATTGAATAACAGCTTACATTAATTAAACGAAGTTAACAGTAGCAACAAAAGAATAATAATTTGAGAGAATTACGTACTTAATAAACGCCACGCGAAGTTATACGTCTTAACAGCTCGACGGTCAACAACAAACAACCTCCCCGCGGCTTCAGATACGTCATAAACTAATTTGATGGAGTGGGGAGAGGAAAGGCACGAGCATATTAGAGATCAACTAGAATACGGAAAGAAATTTGAGAATTTATGAATTATGACGCAATGTCTTTTATTAAATTAATTGCTTAATGTAATTTAATGTAATTAATCTTTTTGCAATTAATCTTCTTTTTTGTAATTAAAGCGACTAGTTTTGAACAAAAGAGCTCCATCTGTCGGTAAACATTGGTACTAAAATTTAACTAAAATTTTAACTAAAATTTAACTAAAAATTTAACTAAAATTTAAAAAACCTTTTTTTTTAATCATTAATAACTTATAACTGATAAATTTGTTTCAAAGCTGCATGCGAACATTGCTTGGTTATTAGTCTTTATAAACGCGTATTCAATTTTGTATTGAAATACTATTTCAATACAAAATTCGATTAATTAGCTAATATTTAATAAATTAGAACAAAGAAATATACTTGTCCTTGTCGCACATTATAACGCTTCTAACATCTTTTTTATAGAAAAGGATATCACTACTGTGCAATAAGGACAGACATGTCCTCTCCGTCTAATTTATTCAATATTTATTAATTATTCGAATTCTGGAAGAAATAGACTACAGACAATATTCACGCATAATTAAATAGAACTCTATATAAATAATTTGTCATTAATAATTATTCTATCATTTCATATATTGTGATTTTTCATAATATAATTTAAACCATACCTAATTAATTTATCAACTTTTATCCATGAATAACAATAGTACAGAGTCCAACAAAGTTATAATTAAATATAATTAATCTTCTGAATGTTCAGCATTATTGAAAAATCGCTGATATACGTTACAAAATTCTTGACTCTTGCTGAAACAATTGTTAAATATTTATTAAATAACTAATTGATTAAACAGATATTCATATTCAAAACTGTATAAGAATGTTACTTACAGTTTTTTATTTAATTCCAAAAATATGCGAATTATCAAATTTGGGTTTGAAAATCGAGTAATTAACAATTGTTTATTAATGTTTGTTGCTCATGTTATTTTTTGACAAATTGAGCCCATCCTCTAGATGACGGAAGCTTCATGCTTCTCTGACATAAAGTAAAATTAATTTCTTGGTTTCACCAATACGTGGCGTTAGTATTTAAATGTCAACAAAGTGATCAAATTTTCATTTTCAAAAGGAATGGAAAGGAACTAATTAAAAGGATTAATTTGTGAACTTCTACAAATATATCTGTGTTTATGTTTATGTCTTACACGAATAATTTACGTGACCATATTTCAAAGCTGGATACTTTCAACTATGTCCACTTAATTAATTTTAATGTATGTTTTGAATGTACGTTACGAAAAATTAAATATTATTGAATCTAATGTTTCTATCTATTTGGTGAAGTACATTGAATGAGTAATGAAATTTTATTGATATTAATTTTAAGAAATGAGTTATAAAGAATTGGTATTAACAGATAAATAGTAATGATACATTTTATACGACTCTTATCAATATTATAACAGTTTCTTTGTTAAATCTTATCGATCGATTCTAATGTAGTTTCCAAGACAACGATTGCGCCGTTTAGTTGTCCGCAATATCAGTAAAGAAAGAAATCGCGCAAATTTGCATTAATCTCACTAATTCGCCGTTTTATTGACATTACTACATAGCAGTATTTATATTGCGCTAAAGAAATTACAATTATGGTACAAAATCAAATAGTTCAACGTGTAAGACCTACTATATATCATCAGAACAAAGTGAAACCAATGAAAAGTATTAAGGTATATCATTTCCCTATCGTCGTAAAAAAATAAGGCCTGTAGGTTTCATTTAAATATGAAATCATATTTCTTTAAGGACTTTTTATTAATTTTGAAATTTCTTTGTTAGATATCAAAAGGTACTGTAGAAACAATGACTTCAAAAAGTTCTCCACATTCAGTTTCCAAATATCCTTTACTTGCGGAAGAGGAAACAAAAAATATAAAGGAAAAGAATGATGTAAAACCAAATGAGGGGAAAGAAGAGCAAAATAAAGAAAAAACAATAATTTCCGCCAAAGAAGTAGAATCCTGTTCTTACTTCTATATTTTTTCTTCTATAAAATTAGATATTTATTTGAATGATAATTATTTAATAATTTTATAATAATGATTTCAACAATAGTGATAATAGTTTACTTCAGTAACATTTTAGTAAAAGTTTTTGTAATTGAGTACTAAATTATTATAAACTGATGATCTTAAATTTAATAGTAAATTTGTTTTATAACAGGTTATTAAAAGAAAAAGAAGGGAGGAACGCTTAGCGAGAAAAAAGAAAGAAGAAGAAGAAAAAGAGAGATTCGTGAAAGAAGCTGCCGAAAGAAAAGCAGCAGAAAAAGAAGAAATAATTAAACAAGCGAAAAGATTTATTCTTTACAAAAAACCAATGTGTAGACGAATTAATCAAGGTCTTTTCATTTCTGAGGTGATTAAAAATGAGAGAATAGGAATAGCACAAATCATTAAAAAAATTCAATAAATATTTATTATAATTATTATATATAATACAAAAATTTCATTAACTTTTCATTAATTTTCTTATTAAAAATGTGTTATACTTGTAATATTAGATTTGAAATTTTTTTATGATTTCGTTAGTGCTATAGGGAATTGGACGCTCAACTAAAATTTCGAGAGACTCTTAAAAATATAGATAAAGAGGAGGCTATTGCCTACATGAATTCAATAAAAGAGGATGCAGCGAAATTCGAAGAAGAAATGAAACAGCGATCAGAGGATCAGTTGGAGAAAAAGAACCGTTATGCTATTGAATTAAAGAAACAGTAAGTTTTCACATCATAGTAGATCATTTTATTTTTATAGAATAATGTAGTTTCTTGATGTTAGAATTGAAGAGACTAAAAATGCTGCAGTAGCAAAAGAAAGAGAGGAATTCGAAGCAGAAAAACAAGATCAAGCGAATATGATAAAATATTTGCAAGATATAAAAGAATACGAAGCACAGCAAGTCAGTCTTTGATAATTTATATAACATTAATTGTTATAACCAATAAGTTATTTTTTAGTTGCAAAACAAGAAGCAGAAATTAAAGCAATTCTTTAAAGACGCGATCGAGGAGAAGAAACAGTTCGATTTAGAGCTTAAGCACGAAGAAGAATTCGAGGATCGAGCATACGAAATTTATCGAAATGCAAAATTGCGAATACAAAAGCTCCACGAAGCGGTGAAGCTAAAGGAAAAAGAAGAAAGAGAACAGAGAACACAAATAATCAGTAATTGTGTTTTATACGGATTTGTATGCATTTATTGAAAATTTGAAATGCTCAAAACATGAGAAACTACCCAATGTAGGGTATTTATTATAACATTTAGTAAATGAAATAAATTTCTATTTAAGTTTTATTTATTTATGAAAATGCATAAAAATTCGCAGTTTAATAGTAAATTAATAAATTATTGCATTTTATTCGAGTTTATTATTTTAACAGCTGAAAGATATAGTGAGCTCTTAAAGTCAAAAGTAGATATAGGAGAAGAGCTATTGAAAAAAGCTCAGCAAGAACAAGAGGAACAATATCAAGAAAAGCAAAGACTACGGAAAGAACGTGAGAATCAAATGCGAAAGGAATTGCAAGATTATCGATTAGAAGTGCTAGCTACGAAAGCGAAACAAGCTCAAGAGGAAAGAGATATAAAAACGTGGGAAACTATGCAAAGATTCAAGAGATCTGAATGTGACGAGAAATATAGAGATGAGAAACGAAAGAAAAATAGAGATAAAAAGATAGAATACGGAAACGAGATCAAAAGATATATCGTAAGTATGAGAAAACATTATTAATATTCTCTTATATAATATTAATAGTTCATAATTTAAAGAAATTGAAGTTACTTGTAACACCACGATAAACCATTGCTTGACCTTGGTGAATTGATTTAAACAAAGCTTCATGTATTTTCAGAATGAGAGAATAGCGGAGCGAATAGAAGAGAAACTTAGCGAAGAAAAAGCTGAAGACGTAACGAAAATTATTGAAAAAGAAAATCAAAAGGTTCTTGATTATGCGGAAGAAGTCATAAATGAATCTAAAGACGTGAGACCACTTTATCCAATTCTTAAAGCTGCGGAGGTATATGAAATTATATTTCATAATAATTAGTGTAAAATTTTTTCGTCTTAAATTAACTATAATATTTCAAATGAAAGGAATGCAAACGTGAAATGGGTTTAATACAACCTAAGAAAAAAGGAGAAACAATTATTGAGAAATCTAAAAGAAAACGAAGAATGCGTAGATGTACAAAATTTGTTCCTGAGGATAAGATTTGTTATTTATAACAGCAAACATGAGAGAAAACGTTCATTGTAACTGTTTTACTAATATAGCAGAATTCTAGTGCTTTATTCTATCATTACTATTAAAATTTTAATATTAAATTTAATCTCAAAAAGTTATGTCTGGAACACATTCATTTTAACAATACATATAATGTAATATTTAATAAAACAAAGTTTGTTTTATATATATGTTTTATATATGTACGTATGTACATACATGTAATTTCGTATGTAATATGTGCATATGTACTTTTTAAATATTTATTATAAAATTTTTTAATGTTAACGCAACATATTCACAAATTAAATAAATAAATATATTACTCAAAATAGAAAAGGAGTAAAATTGTTGTTCATCATTTAATTGAAACCCTAAATAATTCCTGAAAAATAGAATGATTTGAAATTTTAGCAACCTTCTATTATTCATTGTTATAATTTTGATATATGTATTTTATATTGAATTCAAATTATACTTACTACGAATGCATATTTTATATCTAATTGCAAAATATAAGTCTGATGATTTTTAAGATTAAGATCAATTTTTTGATATATCTATTTAATAAACCAGAAGAATAATTTATCAGAATACTTGCAGAAACTATGACATATACTTTTCTTACACCCTATACAATATATTATTTAATTCTTGGAATCGAATGTCATATTATTACAGTGGTATGAACCATGTTTCTGATACATGTCACTTTATGTTATTATTATTAATGACAGGTTAACGTTATAAATATATTTTCATTTTTATACACATTTATATTTGTATCATTATACATCTGTTCTTTTGCAACTTTTGGAACGATCTTAAGAAATTTCGACAATATATTTTTGAGAAATATTAAACGAAGACTGAATAAATATTAAGAATGTCTGAGAAAGGGCCAGAAGAAAAGAAAAAGCAACCTTTACCCCCTCTGTTTAATTTTATAAATGCTGGCCTTTCGGGGTATGTTAGTGTAATTTTAAATATTCTATTCTTTACTGCCACTTTATTTTATCTTTTACATATCTCTGAAAGTGAAATATTAAATGAAATAAACAAATGATATCGTAATAAAAAATGGTGAATTATTAAATTGTTAAATATTTAAACTAAATTGAATTAAATTTAATTTTACATTACACAAATTTAATAGATTAAAGAATCTTATCATTTAACATTTAATCATAAAATTTATTCAATTCATTGTTCATTCATTTTCCAGAATAATATAATTTTTCAGAGTTAATCTTTATAACAGTGGCTTTGTAATGCAAATTTTCCAGGATGGCAGCGACATGTTTTGTTCATCCTATGGATGTAATAAAGAATCGAATTCAGATACAAAGGGAGAAAATTTCGATCGGTAAAATTATCACTTCCATATACAAAGATGAGGGCATTCTTAAATTTTATTCCGGACTTAGCGCTGGTCTTGTACGACAGGCGACTTATACCACTGTAAGGCTTGGTATATACAATCAACTACAAGAACACTGGAAGTGAGTTCAAATTAGAATTTCTTTTAGAAATAATACGATCGAAATTAAGAACTACGTTTTATTTTTACGTATTTTTAAATTTATGTACTTTCAGGCAGAACTACGTGGGGAAACCTAATTTTGGTGTATTATCACTGATGGCAGCTACAGCAGGAGCTATAGGAGCTTTTGTTGGTACACCAGCGGAAGTAGCTCTTGTAAGAATGACAGCCGATGGCAGGTTACCACCAGGTAATTATCATCTATCATTTAATTATATTCTTATATGACGTATTTTAATATCTTCTTTCATTCCTTTCTTATATCTGCAACAATTCGTAATTTTAGTATTATATTTTATACAGAGCAACGAAGGAATTACAAAAATGTGTTCAACGCATTTACAAGGATATCTCGAGAAGAAGGAGTCACCACTCTTTGGAGGGGAAGTGTAGCGACGATGGGACGAGCGGTGGTTGTTAATGTGTCACAACTTGCATCTTATAGTCAAGCCAAATTTTTAATATCTTCAAAAAGTATCTATCCTATATTTCGCTTTTTTTTATGATATTATTTTAAAAGTTGTGAAAAATAATTAGTAAAGAAACGACAGAATAATTAGCTTAAAAATATTATATTACAAACCTACTTACAAGATTTTATATTAATATATGAAAGTATCAGACGCATTTTATTTCACAGTGCATATACCGGAAGGTATTGGTCTACATTTCTCTGCATCAATGTTATCTGGATTCCTCACTACTTTCAATTCTATGCCATTCGATGTAACTAAAACAAGGTGTAATAATATTAACTTTCTTATTCATAAATTATTTTAATATTATGATACTGAATTAGCATTTCGAAAGCAATTTTTATGACATATTTTCAGAATACAAAATTTAAAGGATGTAGGAAAACCACCTGGTATGATCACAATGTTAATGTCAATAGCAAGATCTGAAGGTATAAAGGCACTTTGGAAAGGTTTCTGGCCTACGTATTGTAGAGTAGGCCCACATACGGTACTAACGTTTCTAATTAATGAACAAATCGTCAAACTATACAGACTATACGCGACATAAGTGTGTAACAAAGACGGAAATTTTAATGACTGTTTTCTTATATATGTTTATTATACATATATAATTATACATATTGTATTGTATCGTATTGGATATTATTGTACTATACTGAATTGTGTATGAACCTTTTGTAACAGATATTTAAGTAACATTTATAAATAAAGTATATTTACAATTACGTTTGCTTAGTTACTTATTTACAATTCTCTAATAATGACTAACATAATTCTTTAGAACTCATTTTATTATTTCTTTTCGTTAATTCGCTAATTAAAAACTGTATTCATGATAAAAATTTACGATTACTTTATTTATATCCATAATTAAAAATTATTACCTTTTATCATAGATACATATATCATTCGATTGTCATTTTTATCAAATTTAT